GCACAGGTCGTGTAGCCGGCATTTCTCCATAGTATTGATTTCCTTGTAGCAAACACAGCTTAGAAGTACTCTAACTCCTGTTTTTTTTTTTTTTTTGTCCCCTTTGTTTTTCAGTAACAAAAGTCATCTGTGCCCAGCAGTGCTCCGGACGGTGCAGGGGAAAGGTGCCCAGTGACTGCTGCCAYAACCAGTGTGCTGCTGGGTGTACGGGGCCTCGGGAGAGCGACTGTCTGGTAAGGAGGCTGCAACAACTTGCGTAAAGCCATGGCCCTGCCACGCAGATGTCCAGCTGGATGCCCTGTAACCTTCTTTTACCTGAGAAGGCCCTCAAGGGATGCTGACCAAGACAGCCCCATGTTGTGATGGGAGCAACGAGGGGATAGGAAGGAAGAGGGAACGAGGGTCCATAGGAGGGAAGAGGGCTGAATTGCACAACACTCTTAGCTTATCTTTGCTAATTTGCCAGGTGGACATTCCTAACATGTGTCAAATAGGCATTAGTGCCTTGGAAAGCCAAGAATGCTCCAAGTGTCCACATGGGAAGTTCCTGTGGAGCAGCTAAGAGTTTACTCTGGATCAACTTCCCTAACATGCACAGCTCCCCATATCCTCAGCTGCTGTCACAGCTCAGTACTTCTCCACTTTTTTTTTTCTAGGAAAAAAAAAGATYGATTTTTCAGGGTTGTAGTACACAATGTGTTTGTAACTCTTCCCCTCTCTAACGCTATACTTCGTTCTGAATTAAGTGACATGTGAGTAATTGTCACAGAAACAGTGCGGTTGATATTTTTTCAGTGTTGCTGTCTGCATTCCTGGCTGTATTCCTTATGAACTGCATGGCCAGAATGCTCTTACTGGCTCACAGAGAAAAATAATACGGTTATTCTCTCTCATCCAGAAAGCCAGGGAAGAATAAAGGGAGAAACAGAGAACAATTATTAATTTAATGCAGAATTAGGTTGGAAGAACCAACATGTCCTTCATAAATACCTACTAAATTGTTCATTACCTGCAGCCAAATATAATGGTTTCAGTTTAATACCTAGCCACAAATGTCAGTAATCGGCAGGAAAGAACTTGATTTGATTTATGTTATTAAAAAGCGGCTGGCCAAGAAAACTAAAGCATTTGTCTTGATCTGGTTACCGCTCGTAGGGAAAATTCTTCTGTCTGAGGCATGCAGATTCAACCCTGTTCCCATGTGAATCCCAGCAGCTCTCCTCCAGAGTGCCAAGGTTTCTTGTTCAGATCAAGAAAACCTCATGTTCGCTCTTTTTCTCAAATATCAAGCTAAATTGCCCAACCTGATGCAACTTTCTGCCTCCCAAGCACAAGGGAACAACCCTGCTAGTGCTTGTGGTTTCCATTAGAGCTTAGTATGAAACAAAGAAGCCAGTTAAGAGTGTTTTTAGATTGCAGTTAATAAAAACAGGAGATCGTTTAATGGACACGTGTTGTTCCATGACAGGCATGTCGCAAGTTCCGGGATGATGCCACCTGCAAGGACACATGTCCCCCATTAGTCCTGTACAATCCTACCACCTACCAGATGGATGTCAACCCCGACGGAAAGTACAGCTTTGGAGCCACGTGCGTGAGGGAATGTCCTCGTAAGTTCGTTTTGTCTTGCAGATATGGTGGGAAGATGGCAGGTTTGAGGAGATGGGCAAGGGAACTGCCTCATCACCTTGCTCAAGATGCTGGCTTTGTCTTTGTGCTGTTCCACATCAATATGATTTTTAAACACCAAGACCTACATGTGGGAGAGGGTTCAGCATACAGACTTGGTGTCTCTTCCTGAGATTTGCTGTTGGCCTTCATAGGCCTTTGGTTGGGAAGARCGAATAACGATCAGGAATCAGAAAGTGCCGACAACTGACCTGGATTATGGCACCACTGCCTGACCTGTCCTTGACAATGTTGCTTTACCCTTTGGACAGTTCCCCTCTCTGTAAAATAGTGATAATGATGTATGTCTATCTACCTTCAAAGGATGTCAGGAGAATTAATAATTAATGCTTGTGCTTTGCCCGAGTATACCAAAAGTTCAAAAGCCTTTTTTCTGTCTTCTAGCTTTTTAAGTGTCTGCGCAGCCCCCAGTGTATCCCCCTGATATTTCAATGCCCTTGTTGTCCTTGTTTTTCCAGACAACTATGTGGTGACGGACCACGGCTCCTGTGTTCGCTCGTGTAATACTGATACTTATGAAGTGGAAGAAAATGGTGTTCGGAAGTGTAAAAAATGTGACGGGCTGTGCAGCAAAGGTATAAAAAGCATGGAATAAAATAGTAAGGCTTTGAGGCAGAAGGTAGTTTTTTAGAGGAGGTAAAGGGAGCTCAATTTAGACCTCAAAGAGCAAAGTATAAATATCTGTTAATAATCTGAAGGTCAAGACAAGTATCCATGGATAATTTGGAKGTTCAAAACAAGAGAATCAATGGCTTTGAAGCATGCTCTCAAGCTGGCATACTCTGCAAGTGAGCTAGATAAACTATGCTACCTGTAGATGCAAGTCTTCCACATTAGCCTTCTCCTTAGTTTATCCTTCCTAGGATCTCCTCAGTGGGAATGAAAATGAAAATGGGACAGAGAGAAGTGTGTGTGCAAGACTCAGTGTGCAGAGGTGTTTGGATCAATGCTGCACAAATGGGCAAGCAGGAAACATTTAACATTTTGTGCTTTTGGATATGCAAAAGTAGACAAGAGATCTATGAAACTGATCTTACAGTGGCAGGTTTGACCATGTGGGGATACTTTATGGACTACTATCATTTTTGTGTTTATTCCCTCACATATGAGTATGTGTAACTCTTCTCCCTCTTGACTTCTGTGCTTCCGTTTTACCAGTGTGCAATGGCATTGGGATTGGTGAGCTTAAGGGAATTCTTTCCATAAATGCCACAAACATTGACTCCTTCAAAAACTGTACCAAGATCAATGGAGATGTCAGCATACTCCCAGTTGCATTTCTAGGGTGAGTTGCCTCTTGATCTTTCAGCGCTAGCTAGAGGAGAGGGGCTTAGGAAGAAGCCCCTTAGGGGGAAGATAGGGAAAGGTTCAAGCTGACTCCTTCTTCTGATTTCTCCTCCTGTTTGTTTCAGTGATGCCTTCACCAAGACACTACCTCTCGACCCTAAGAAACTGGATGTCTTCAAAACAGTCAAAGAAATATCAGGTCAGCAATATGTTTTAAACATGATATGTTACTGCCAAAAACACCAAGGGAGATGAGGAATTATTTTCTAGCTGGTGAAGTACACACAAATAGTTTCTGCCCCTGAGCGGATAGGGATCACTTTTCACAGAGGTGGTCAGTAGCGTTTTGCTAGCTTTACACCCACGCAACTCATCCTGGCCTCTCATCCGAGGTGCGYGGTTGTGCCAGATCATCTGTTCTGCTCAACTGTCAGCCCTAGTGGAGAGTAAAAGCAGAAGAGATACTCAGCCACCCAAGAAGTATGTGGTGGTGCAGAGGCGTGCCACACTGGCTTAGGAAAAAAACAAMAMAAAAAAACCYTAGAGTGTTTCTATTTGTGGAAAACCTTTCAGCAGTTCCTTAGGGAAGTRTGCTGAGCGGCTTGCATCATCCTCGCGGAGACACCCTCTCCAGCCTGGAGAGCCCTTCCCTAGAATAAATGCAGGCTCTGAAAGCGTAAAGTGCTCAGCAAAGCACTCGACTTGGGTCTGGCACGAGCACCAATTAAAAGCAGTTGTGTTTGGTCAAAGACATTCATCCCAGTATGAAAGCAGTGGATTATCAGAGCTGGGCCTGCAGATGTGTCATCAGTTCCGCTTTACTTTCTCTCTTTTATCTCTCTGCCTTCCTTAAAGGTAGCAATGTCTAACCTCACAACCTCAGCTAGCAGAATGTAATTTCCCAAATTCCTTTCCTCTACCTRAAACATCTCACTGGGGCAGGGAAATCTGCTTGTCTTGGCAGATACCTCCAATCTACTGTCTGCTCTGTTTCTGTCCTCTGCTCTATTTCTCTGTTCCTCGAAGGCAGCTCACAGCAGGGATGGAGCAGGGCTTTTCCCATGCTGCAGGGAAAGCCGGAGCCTCCCATCCCGGATTGCTGCTGACAGGAGCAGGCACTGGCTGCTCAGCGTGGCGGGATGCAGCTCTCTGACACGCCACCCTCTTGCACTGCTGAGCCCTCGTGGTGGACCAAAAGTAAATTGTTTACAAGACAGTATTCACAAATAGCTTCCTGCTCCCTAAAATGTCATGCTTCACTTTGAAATTCCTAGGAAGGCATACAGAAAGTACGAGTGCCTTCCGCCAGCTTGGGAGATGCTGTTTGGGGCAAGAGGTTCCACTTCCAGTACTAACCAAGTTGCCACATTTTCTTTTTTTTTTTTTTTTTTTTTTTTTTTTCTTTTAACCTTCTTTTCCTCATTTCAGGATTTTTGTTGATTCAGGCTTGGCCTGAAAATGCTACTGATCTCTATGCTTTTGAAAATCTGGAGATTATACGAGGCAGAACCAAGCAACAGTAAGTAAATCATGCACCAGACTCGGTGCAAAAAAACCTGTTTAGAGCTGCCCTTGCCTGAGCAAGCCAAGGTGCAAAGATCTGTGAAACTCAAGTGTCACAGAAGAGTTGGACAAAACTGGAACAATCTTGCTAGGGGTTAAGCAGCTTTTTTTTTTTGTGACAAATTTACCTTAATAGGCTCAAATTTGCACCTCCCTACTGCTTTTAGAGGTTGTGAGGTGCCTGCTCTCAGAACCAAGCTGCCTACACAAGGGTGAGCAACTCTTTGGGATCCAGGGATTGCGAGTGCCAGACAGGTTACCATGTGTACTAGAAATGCTTTGGTTTTGGAGGTAGCTGGGAAGTGGGAGAGGAGACCACAGCTTCCAGGTGGCATAAACACAGGCAAGGGATAAACACAGGCATGGCATAAACACAGGCTATCCCAGCAAGATAGCTTTGTGGACCAGTACAGAATAACTTTCCTACTTGCAACCAACGTTGTACAGCATTTACTTGATGGAAGGCATGTGTGCTGCAAAGTTTAGCTTAAAATCCCCATGCAAAACCATTGCAGTTGTTATACAACAGGCATGCCATGTACCACATGTTACCCAATTGAGCAACATCTTGCTTAAGCAAAGTTCAGCTTACAACAACACACGTAGGCCCTTGAAAAGCAAGAGAAAACCACCCTCTTTAATCACCGTTTTTCCTTTGTGTGTTTTTTTTTCTGTCCATTTCAGTGGCCAGTACTCCCTTGCAGTTGTTAATTTGAAAATTCAGTCGTTAGGGCTGCGCTCCCTTAAGGAAATCAGTGATGGAGATGTTGCCATTATGAAGAACAAGAACCTCTGCTATGCGGACACGATGAACTGGCGCAGTCTGTTTGCAACTCAGAGTCAGAAAACAAAAATAATACAGAACAGAAATCAAAATGAGTGTGGTAAGTCAGTGCTGTCCTCCTGTCCTGCTTGCAATCTTGTGCTAAAATGCAAGAGCAGTTTAAGCCTGATGTTTTTCTCTTCATTCCTCTGATGTCCTAGTTTGCTGAGGTTGATATTTGGTCATGCTGCTATTGACTGCAGTCATCTCTGAGTCAAAATCTAATTATTTTTTCTTTGCAGAATGTGAATTGTTATATTTTGGAAAGAAATCTCTTTCGGTCCTGATTTAGCCTGATTATATATCTGTTAAACGGTCACAGAGGAGCCTTTTCTCATTTGGAAAATCAGAAGTCACTTTTAATTTCAGACTTTGTGGATTAAGGGAATCATGATTATTCCTCTTCCATATTGTCAGGACTGTTAATGTCTGCCTTGGAATAATACAGAAAAATTGTCTCTTAAAGTTGAGTTCTGCAGGACTGTATTTGCTCTCTCTCCTGCTTTGAAGTTCATGGTGTTTATTTATTTATTAATTCATTTTTTAAATCTCTTTTTGTCTTAGCTGCTGCTCAGCATGTTTGTGACCCCCTGTGCTCAGATATAGGCTGCTGGGGCCCTGGGCCCTTCCACTGCTTCTCCTGCAAATATTTTGGCCGCCAGAAGGAGTGTGTGAAAGAGTGCAATATCCTGCAAGGGTAAGTTGTCTGGGGCGGTTTGGTGGTGATGTTTCAGTTTTATTTTCAAGAGCTGTTGCAAAGTAACCAGGCCTCTCATTGCACTGAGCTTCACCAGCAGCCGCTTTGAAAATCTGAGCTATGCCTGTCATGCCAAGCCCGTTGGGCGCGCGCCCGAGCTCGTTGCAGTCACTGGGATCTTGGTTCCCCAAGTCGCCCTCGCCGCAGACGGGCTCATCCGTGTGCTCCAAATTGCGCAGGAGCCGTTTGCCGAATTGCAGCCCATGTCTCGAGAGGTCAGAGTCTGCCCCGGGCTGCCCCGGAGGGGCCCCTGCTGAAACTGCAGGCAGCTCCTGGCAAGAATCCWGGGCAGGGCTTTGCAATTTGCAATTTGCAAAGCTGCAGTCAGGGGAAAATTAACCTTAATGTGAAGAGCACTTGGAGCAGGAGTTTCAGGCAAATTTATTGCCCCAGCTTCACTCAGAATATTCAAAACATCTCGATACCTCTCCATCAGCTCTCTGAAGGTTTTTTCCATCAGCTCAACAGGTGCTATAGGCRGGGAAGGAAAGGCTACCACAGAAATTTGGCTATACAGAAAAGGATACCGATTTTCTGCAATGCACATCAGACCCAAAAGACCTACAACAGATTTGTTGGTGCAAACATTTGTTTTGTTACAAAGTCTTTTGGAGCTGGACCTTTAAAAATCATTGCTCTTGTGAAAGTACTTGACAGCCTGCTGCGGCCTGTGATGTTTGCGTTTGTCTGGTAACTTGCAGTTCAGCAGCTGTCTTTTTTTTTGTGAGCAAAGGCCCTGCGGCAGTTGTTATGACCTGAAGGGCAGATCTGGGCATTTTTTTGTGTGTCAAATGATGGGTAGATTTAGTTTAATTAATAACACTATCACTTGAAGTGGAACAGCTTTATTGCTATTGAAACCATCTGTTCCCAACTTTCATATTTTAATGATTCATTGTACGTTTGGGGTTGGGAGCAGGGGGGGCATGAGTTTAATTAAGAGCGCGTTTCTGTTTAACTTTCCTTGTTTTCATTTGGAGCCTCGGAATCCCTCGCGCTGCTTTTGCTGATTGCTTTGCGTCGCTTCCCTTCGGAGAGCTTTGAGGATAGTCTCTGCCCATTAGCTTAGGCTGAAAGTCAGTTGGTTTGTGGTGTCCAGGCTGCAGTGCCGTGTGTTGCCCCATCACTGAGTGTCGCGTAGCAGGGTGCTCCGCTCATGTGCTGCTGCCGGCCAGGACCTTCTCCCAGCATCACCTCCCCTCTCATCASAGCCATCCCGGTGTAGCTACACTGAGCAAGTCAGAACAGGGACAGGAGAGACATGAGGGACTACCAGTGCTTATCACTCCTCAACATCTCGCTGGGTTGTTTTTCTTTCTTTTAATAGTTTCCCTGCTTTTTTTTACTTTCCAGGGAGCCCCGGGAGTTTGAAAGAGACTCAAAGTGCCTCCCATGTCACCCCGAGTGCTTGGTGCAAAACTCCACCATGTACAACGCCACCTGCACTGGACCTGTAAGAGCTGATGTGCCTTAACAAACCTCTACAYGCGGGCAAATTAGCCTGCAATGTGCTCTCCCCATGCTGACAAGTCATGGGAGGTGCTTTAAAACAAGCCCAAGAACACCCTGAGTTGGGAGACTTAGAGGGCAAGATCTGGGAGTGGGGATAGGGGACAAAAAGGGRAGAGGGGTCTGCAAGGTAATTTCTCTCTCATGTCACCCATCATGCACGTAATCCACACTGCCCCTCAACTCTCAGGCATTGCAGGACCTTTGCTGGTTGCAATTTTTTAGAGCAAAGTTTAAGAATTATATGTAGGTGCATGTATGGGAATTTGGTGATGATTTTAGGAATGAGCAGTTACCAAACAACCAAATTACCATGAACATGTTGAACTTCCTCATTCAGAAGGAGAAGAATAACCATTAAAACCAGTGGATCAATACAGTAGCTTTTCCCCTTTGAAAAATGTGGGGCAAAGTTGTGATTAAAAACAGGTGTTGACTGGAAAACATCCAGGAAGCAGTTTTTAATTAAAGCACATTCCGTCCTCTAATAGGTTAAAGTAAATACTTACAGTAACTGCAAATTTAAGTTGTGTTCAAAGAAAGGCAATCAAAATAAAATGAATTTTTTTTTCAAAGTGGTTTACATTTTCCAAATTCACATAAAAGCTCCTCCCTCAAAAGCCAATACACTCTACTCTTGCCAGTAGTCCTGAGTTGTCTTCAGTTTTGCCCCTTTTCCATTTTTAAAATGCTCTTTTATGAAGTGTCTGGTTTGGCAAATGTGAAAAATAATTTAATTTGAATATGTGTTAGATTGAATTCATGTCTTCATTCTGAAACTCATGAATATCTGGAAAGGAGCCATACTATTTTACATCTAAATTTGAACTCAGTCCTTTATCTTTAAGTGACAGAAGGCAAATGCACTTCAGTGCAAATGCATCCTCAGTCACAGAGAACATGTTTTTTGGTAATTGAAATCAAATCTCCCGTTCCCTCCTCCCTGCTGTGCTGTTAGCCAAAACCTTTAAACACCTCCTGCCCTCTCCTGTAGCCACTGCATGTTTGACCCTTGCCCATCACTCTGCAGAGTCACTGCTCAGTAATGTAAAGTATTTCCATCCTCCCTTCTAGCTCAGACTGTGGCCTCAGGGCTGCTCTCAACATTATAAACCCCCGTGGGCACTGACTGTCTTCTCATTTGCCCAGTGTCTAGTAATTCATTTGCTTTTGGGACCCTTAGACTTCATGATAATTAAAATAATCTTCACATAGCATCTCTCACTGTAGCCCCACAAAACCAGCACTGGATCTGGCCTGTTTGTTATTCTTTAATGGAATTTGACCCAGATTTGCTATTTTCCCTGCTAAAATACTTAAGGCATTCTTTGTGCTGCTCCAGTCTGAATAGAAGGGTGCAGTTGAATATCGAACACATTTAGATTTGTCACCTGAATTTCCTCTTGAATAGGCCAGTATATGGGTACTTGAAAGAAGCATTTCTTCTTGGTTTCTTTTCAGGGCCCAGACAACTGCATGAAATGTGCCCACTTCATAGATGGCCCTCACTGCGTGAAAACCTGTCCCGCGGGGGTGCTGGGAGAGAACGATACCCTCGTCTGGAAATACGCCGACGGAAACTCCGTCTGCCGGCTCTGCCATCCCAACTGTACCCGCGGGTGAGTACGATACACTTGCCTAGTAAAACAAGAGCAGAAGGAACAAAGAAAGAAAAGAAGGAAGGAATTGGTTGTTGCTCCTCTTGAGCCCATTCCCTTCCTGACAGTCCCCTTTCAAAATACCATCACCAAAACCCATCAGGAAGCGAAGGAGGTCAGAACCATGCAGGTAATGTAAGCAACATGTGGCTGACTTTGTAAATAGGGAAAGTTCAGTGGCACTTCTTCTTTACACAGAAGGCAAAGAGAAAAAAAAATGAAAAAAAAATGTTTTAGGGGACTTGAAACAGGCTTGTTTATTTATTTATAAGAGAAACTTTCTGGAAATTTACAAAACTCGCTGGCCCCGTGATGCACTCCTTTTCCCTCTGCCCGGCTGGGTGCTCAGCCTGGGTTTTGGGGAGGGAGGGCAGTGACCTCTGGCGGAGGCTGAGCTCCACGGGGTCCCACCACAGGCTGCGTGTCACCCTCACCCTCGAAAGGCATGGAGATGGCTGGATGGCTTGCTCCTTTTTTCCTCCCCAGCTGGGATATTTCAGGAGGGAAGTCCCAGTGCATTACCTGGGGCATGCACAATGATTTTCTGCTCTCTTTCTGTGTGTGGGCACCTGTCTGAGCTTAAAGCCTTACCTGTCCTAAATATTAATTTAATCGCTGGGAATCACAGCAATCCGTAAGCCTGTATTTTCACTTGCTGGCCTGGTGAAACCACTGCCTATAATGAACTGTGAATTTAACTGCATTTTGCCTATGTAACAGTAAGTGACAGGGTTGCAGCTGTGGCCTCTCAAGGCTTCGTCCCTGCAATGGACATGGGTTGTGCTGTAAGAAGTGTGGGGTTTGGGACCTGCTTCTTGGATGCTCTTAGAGCAAAAGACCCTTCTTGGGTATCTTTTCCCTCGCAAGCCTCTCCCTTGTGATCTGCAGTGACTTCCCTGTGTTTCCTCAGTGTCACAGGCAAGGCTTATCAATGCTTCCCGGCACGCTCCTGATAATGGCTGATCTCAGCTGAAAAGGGATCTTAATAACTTTGATCTTTACTAATGACCTCYGTGACTGCGATCGCTGGTCCCCTCTGATACCAACTGGCCGCAGTGAGCCAAATATCCTTCTCAAAACTGGCCACATGAAAATGTGGCTGCTGATTTGAGCAGCATAATCAGTAACCACATCTGAACAGAGCTCTTGGCTGAGTGGCTGTGGTAGCRAGATCAAACACTAAGCTCAGATGARTACAGGCTTGGAGAATGTAATTTGCCAGACGTGAGTGCGACTGGGCGAGCTTGCAGTGGCCTCCGAGCGAGGCCTCCGAGCAGAGCTGCACATTGTTCCAGGCTCCTCACAAAAGTCAATTCCCGYTTGCCTAGCAGTGGGGGAGTGTCCCAAAGGGGTGGGATGGGTGTAGGGCAAGGAGAGATTATTGGATATTGGGGTTGCTCAGGGTGTTTCACCCTATAGCATAACAAAAGATAYCTATTTCATCTCTGATGTGAAAGGTTTGGACTTGATATGTCATTGTTGTTTGTTTATATTGTGAACATGCTGGCTGGCCCTGCAAAGGGTGCCAAATGAAAGAGGCTCTGCTCCGGAGAGATGCGGCAGAACTAGAGGAAGGTTGCATTCCARTTTTTATTTCACTGAATCATGGAATGATTAAGGTTGGAAGGCACCTCTAGARATCATCTAGTCCAACCTTCCTGCTCAAGCAGGGACACCCAGAGCAYGGGGCACAGGGCGGCATCCAGGCGGGTTGTGAAGACCTCCAGAGAAGGAGACTCCACAGCCTCCCTGGGCAGCCTGTGCCAGGGCAATTTAAGGACATTTGAGGGCAAGGGCAACGATGGGTAGGCTGTAGCAGAGTCCTAATGTGGCAGTCCTGGGCAGTGTCTTYCCCTTGAAGACCACAGGTCAGAGATGCCCATTAACTGCTCCTCACGCTCTCTCCTTGTTGTGCCTCAGGACCACAATCGGTTCRAGCAGCAGCGGGTCGAAATCATCAGTCTTGCAAAGTTTTTTCATCCTTAAATTCCACTGTTTCAACAATTATGCACAACAAGAAACAATTTTGTTACTGCTATTCCTGTCCAATTTCATGTCTAGAGCCCACAAAACCTATCAGTGTGATTAAGTTTGCTGACTTCTGACTCTTTGCTATTTACCAGAAGTTACAAGTAGGAAGAACTCTTCTAACCAAACTTTGTCAGAAATTTCGTTYTTTACTTTCATGCCTACTTGCAGTGCATTGCTTTCTTCATATTGCTGCTAAGAGTCTCATCTAGTTTGATTTTCTTTGCTGAATCCCCAAGCTGCAGTTTGTTCAGCTTTCATTAGAAAGCAGAAGGGAGGAAGCTGTCTCCTCTTCAGCCCAAATGACTCCTTCTCTCCCATTTCCCTTGTAACTTGAGATTTCTGTGCTCAAACTTCCTTTTACTCTGTCTCTACTACAGCTGAGAGAATACACTCAATCTGAGAGAGAGGTCCTAGGAGCCCTGGAATTACCCATTTATACCTCCAGCATCTAATGAAACACACTAGCCTGATTAATCTGTGCTGTGCTCAGTGGTTTGGTTTTCCAATATTGTTTTCCCAGAGCGGGAGAATTAAATTCAGTTGTAGCCAGTGGGATAGAATAGCAAGAAAGAGAGAAGGCAAAAGGGTAGTTAATAGCCCTGACTGACACATCCTGCCTCCAGAGTCCATGTGAACCCTACGTGCATTGCCATCCTTGTCATTTTTCACATTAAATGCCACAGGACTTTAGGATAGGTGGAAAGAAGGCAAGGAGGTTAGAGGGAGAAGTCCATGGTATTAGTTCACACACTCAATGCCTTCATCACGTTTTGAAGGTTAATGAGAAAGCGAGGGCAGAGGAAAGTTCTCATAAGGCTTGAAAGAGCCTGATGATTTTCCATTTCATTTATGACTCCAAAGAACTTAGGCCGTTATAGTCTGAGTTCCCTCCGAAAGGCCATAAATCAAAGCAACCTGGCTGTATTATATCAAATTAGGAACTGTGAGTTGAGGAGAAAGTTGTTAAAATCTTGATGGATTTCCGAAATAAATAGCCATGTCTACATGGAGACAAGTAATGTTTACGCAGACGGATTAAATGCTGAGTTTAGGATGCAGTTGTTTCAGGGACTGTACACAGTGCTAATTTTCCAGTAAGGGGATAGTAGAGAAATATTTCAGAGACTACGACTGCTTTTAGATTCCTTCTAATATATCCATAAGATCTTGAGGCAGTTTATAATACAAAGTCACATTTCTCATTTTAGTTTCTGTTAGCAGAAGAAGAAAAACGATTCAGGAATGGAAAAGGCAATTGTTTAGATTCCATAAAACCTGGGTTACTTATGTTGGGTGTCATCTTAAAATTCCGCATTAAGAAAGATGGTTATATTTAGTCTCAGATAGATATTTGTCATAGACTTTGTTTCTTCTTTGACTTGTGAAAYGAATCAGAAAATCACATGGGATTTGAGAAGCACCAGATGATCTATCATTTTCTTCCCAAGCACCTTTTAACTTTATCGTGCTCAACTTTGTATTGATGGATTTCTGGTGTGGGAAATAATTATTAAAAAAAAAGAAAAAACACTGATGAAAATCTATGCTGCCTCTTCAGCTTCCACTTTCTAACCTAGGAAAACAGCCAGTTGGATATTCCTCAGACTCTACATACTATTCCCTGGAATGAAGTTTTTGCTGTTAGGAAACACACAGAGGGGTTGCCATCAGTAAATGGCACGACAGACCAAAATTTTTGGAAAAAAGGTCATTAAAAGAACCACAGTCACATTCTGCATTCCTGTGAGGCCTTCGAAGTTCCCCACCTAATTTGGAAGAAGCTACTTGTGCTTTGCTGCATTAGCATATAGAGATTCATATAGAGGTGTGTTAGGGTGAGGTCTTGGGTCCTAGATGAATTCTCCATTAAATGCCCAAAAAGAAAGGTCTGTTGCAAAGTTAGATGCGCCTCCTGTGACTGTGGGCAGCCTTGTGGTTCTGCCGTACATGTGCAGCCTCTTTGTGCTTAGTTACTCAACTGAGCAAACAAAACAAGCTGTAGGCAGAAAGAAAATGCTAACAGAGCTGGGCGTCCGGGATGCGGGAACCGCTGTGCACGATGCTTCCAGCCRCGGAGGACACCAGGATGCACATTCTTGCATGGGAGCCCAGTGAACTCGCAAGACCTTCCAGATGCTGGGTCTCGGAGCACTCTGTTGGCACAGGAACAAGGCAAATACATGAGGGAAGATCAGAGYAAGGAAAACAAACAAGCGAAAAAGAAACAATTAAAATGAGTAGTAGCTTCCCCTCTTCCTCCCCCAGACCTTGTTCAAGTTGTGGGATAAAATCTCCAGCTCCACCTGCCATTTTGACATGTTTCTGGTTCCTGCTCTCAGCAACAGGGAATTGGGAACACGTTTCCTGGCATGGGCTTGCTTYTTAGCCCCTACTTGACCTCCTCTGGAGCTGCTGGGGGATGAGGCATCAATTCTTTAAGTCAGAGCAGGCAGCGGTTACCACAAAGTGGCCTTTTCTGCTCTGCTCTGCTCTGCCTTTCAGGCGTGATGTAATGCCTTCTGTAGTGCTCTCCTTCCTCAGGAGGCACCGCAGAGACCACAATTCCCATGAGGAGTGTGCATCTCACAGCCCAGCAGTGCATGGGGAGTGCATGATGCCTCTCCCACCCATTCAAATAGCAAATACACRCATTCACTGTATTTTAATCTTCATTGCTTTCTGCATGAGGCTGCTGACGTGGATGGAGGGCATTTCAAACTCCAGTGGAGGCTGAATGGCTTGCTAGAAGCATTCCTGGCTCTCTGGATAAGCCTCATGCTGTAGCAGGGAGGCCATGGCATGATTCAATCAAGTACCAGTAATATAAGCTCTCAGATTCTAAATTCAAAATATCGGGGGCACATATCAAAAGCCAATGGCCAAAGCGGGGRCTATCAAATCCTCTTTCCTGACAGCAGCATGTGTCTGCTGCTGAAGTTTTCTGTTGCAACGGGAAGTCCAGAAATGAGAATCTTTGAGCCAGGAAAGAAGGACTGTGTGGGATGCGTTTCCTCGAAGCCACTTACCCCCAGATAAGGGAATTCCTTTCAAGGAGGTGGTGCTTTTCTCTTCAGCTGTAAACAGCCCTGAGGGCATGTGCCAACACATGCATAGGTGCAGAGCAAGAGACTGGCCACCCTGCAGCCCCTCTGTGCCTTCCCTCCATTCAAACGCATCACAGAAAGATGTTTTAAAATACTCTTCTTTTTTTTTTTTTTTTTTTTACTGAGTATGCCGCATAACTCTGCTTCTAGATAAAATATTCCAGAGCTATTGATATTTTATAGCATGTATGATCATTATAAAGAGCTATACTCAGGCTGCTCTAAAACACAAACTTGTCATCAATAGCACTCTTTGCTGGCGTGATGGGAGCGTGTGTGCCAGAGCTAATGCATGTATAATATTCATTTGTTTTTACAGGTGTAAAGGGCCCGGTCTTGAAGGCTGTCCAAACGGGTGAGTATTTCATCTTTTAGAGTTAATGGCAGCATTGGAAAGAATGCATGTGTGTTTGCTTTTCTGTGCTAGGCCTAAAGTTAAGGCTTCGGATTTGCATAGGGAAGTGACAGATTAGTGCAGGCTCAGACCTATACAAATGACGAARGACTTGAGAAACGGTCCTAATGGTGAAAGACTCCAAAAGTTACTCTGAATTGTTTACCATGAAGGGGAAGTGAAAGTAAGACCTGGGATCTGTCACTGGAGAATAAAAACTAAGTGGTAAAAAGAAAGGATAATAGGCTAGAGGCAGAGAGATGTTTAGGATTAGTAGAATTACCTGCATTGCGGGAGACTCAGCTCAGAGACCCAGAGGGTCTCTTCTAGTCCTGTGATCTATACATCTCCAGCTCTTCCTCTGCACAGATGCACATTCACTCTTCACACTAGGTCTAGCTTTGCAGTGTTTGACCTTCATGACTTGCTCAGGACTGTGCAACAAATGAACTCCACAGTTTCTATAAGGGGCAACACTTTGTGCTATACCATGAATTCATTCACCGTGTCATGCAATAGCAAGACAAGTTCAACACAGACATACCCTTTAAAGTAGCTTCTTATGTCTTATAAGAGATTAATAGCTTATAAAAAGTTGTGATGGGGACCAAAGGGCAAATTTGGAGGAAAGCTTTTTTTATTTCCACCTAAATTTGAAATGAACGAGGCCGTAGTGAACAAGCAGGCAGCAATCTGTACCTGCAAYGTGTTCACACACTATCTGAGCTCACATACTTTCTATTAGGAGAAGAGGGTGAGCTATCTGAGTACATCGTGACCCGTGTGTGCATCAGGTCCCCTCTATAATGATGAGATGTCAGCCTTGCTGATGGCTCCTGCCTTCTTGGTGACAGCTTCCTTTCCATGCACTGCTTGTATCCGATGCTGTGCATGGCAGGTGTCAAGAGGCAGCATTGATTTGATGTCGGTGCACCCAGCAGCTTGGTCAGACAGGGAAGAAACTTCCCTTCGCGGAGTKGGAAGTCTCTGTTATGAGGATCAGCTCAGGTTTTGAGTTTCAGGGAAGAGCAAAGACTTGTAGAGGCAGATTATGCTGCAAGAATCAATACTGAGCACCAGAAGAAAAATCCTGAAATGAGGATGGAGGTGTTAGGAGATTTCAACATCAACTTTTATTGCTTACCTTGATATATTAGCAGGCCCTTCTCTACAATGCTCAATTCCTGCCACAGGAGCAATTTTTAGAAGAAACAGAAGTGCCTGGATTATTAAAGGGAAGCTTACAGATCCAGGACAAAAGCGCAAGCCCAGCAAAGCAAATGGCACAGAAATGATACATGCAAGACTCTGTGTAGAAGCAATTTGCAGAGGAAGGAGRGGCTGGCTAAACAGAGGAGAAGAAATTTGCAGTGTCAAGCACAGCACAGGTCAAGGTGGACGCACATTAGTGCAGTCCTGAGAGACAGAAGATGTTACCTTTTCTTAAAAGAAATAGCAAAAAGAATAAATCAAACACCAAAAAAAAMCACGTTCCTTTGGATAGAGAATTTAAATGCAGATACCCAAGATATTTGAACTGCAGGTAGACTTAATTGAATGCCTAGGTCAACATCTGATGTTGGTCAACAGATCAACATCTGATGCTTCGATCAACTTTCATGGGTGTTCTTTTTTTAATCTTACACCTCAACCTTTTTTCTTTTCCCCACCTGCATCTTCTTCTGTCTCGCAGCTCCAAAATCCCCTCCATCGCAGCTGGTGTGGTCGGAGGCCTCCTGTGCCTCGTCGTGGTCGGCTTGGGCATYGGCCTCTACGTGCGCCGGCGCCACATCGTGCGGAAGCGGACCCTGCGCCGGCTGCTCCAGGAGAGGGAAGTGAGTGTGGCGGTCGCAGCCCAAACTCCCTGGATGGCCCCTCGGGGCCAGCTGCGTTATTCAGGGCGATGCTTTTTGGCCTCCTTGCACCAGCAAACCAAGGCTCCGTGGAGCTGCTTTGGAGCTCACTCTGTCCTTGGGTCGGCTGAGCAGGGTTTGCCAGGCTGGTCAGAAAAGAGGCAGTTGTTGCACATAACACCTTCTCACTTAATCTGGAGTCTGATCTCCGTAGTTATAATCTTCAAAAGCTTCAAGGGATTGGGAGGGCTAAATCCCAATGAAAATCCCTGAAATTGTCTATTCAGGTAAAAAAAATCACCACCACCACCAACAAAACCCTAAGCCTTGAGGGTGAGGTATATTGTATTTGCTGCTCTGTACTATATATTGCCAGTATTGAATCATTTCTCACTCCAGACAAGCCTTTAGGCTGCTGGAACACAATTTTGAGAATCGTACCTTTCGCACCTGATTCTGATGAAAAAAAATGAGAGAGAAGGGAGATCAATGAAAGGAATGGAGGATGATTTTATTTATCTTTTTTTTTTTTTTTTTCACCCCTGTAAGGTTGCAAAGCTGTCTAATTCAAATGTAATCCTGCTTTTAGTTCTGTCCTGCCACCCTGTCTCGGTCWGTAGTCCTATTATTGAAGCTGGGGCTGAGTCATGATGGTAGAAATTTTTTTTTATTAATACAGTAGGTGCAGCCCAAGCAGAGCTAACCTGAAAGTTTAATTAAAATCCGTCCTTTGCCCCATGCATCACTCTCCAGAGTGCAACTCTCTCTTTCCTTTAGGCCACTGCAAAGTGAACGGTTTGCCCTGTTGGGCATGAGGGAGGTAACTAGGCTGCTGCTCATTTTCCACGTGGTACAGGTTTCGTATGTATCACAGGCACCCTCTGGGTGCCTCACATGTGAAATGGCAAAGTTCATTATCCTGGATCAAACCCATTGATTCAAAATAAGCCCCCTTCTCTTTTTGCAGTTCAGCTTTAGCAAATAACTAGCAAATTGTGTTTAGCATTCTGCTAAAAGCCCCATTCCAGCTTCCTCTGTGCTCCCTGGCTTTGCAGAGTCAAATGGTAAAAGTCTTCCAGCTGCCTTGCTTTTCAGTACGTTTCCTAACAGTATTATACTGTAGCCTGTAGTTATAAAAGCAAAATTCAGTTTGCATTCAGCTCATAATGTACCCTTTGTACTCATGAAAAAAGGATCATCACAACAAAATGGTCATTGGCACCCTTAAGATCAGATTGTATCTAGCCTAATATGATCGTTCTCAAAGGAAAGGTAGAAGAAAATCACTAGGGTAAAAGCTGACTTAAATATCAAAAATGTCTTTAATGTCTGTATWTGGAGAGCATTAGTGCTGTTTGCAGTAAGTAAAATATTGCAGTAAAGCATAGGGCAAATGTTAAGAACATCACCAGTAAGTTTTAATACTGGCTTTTGTATTGATGAAGAGTTGTGCTCAGAGTTTAAATTGCTGTTTGTGATCCCTGTGGTCTGGGAGAGCCACCTCTGGTACCATGGGAATTTCATCTAGTGAGACAAGAGCAAACCTGAAAGGTTGGAGGTGATTCCTGCATATTATTTAAAACATTTTTGTAATTTATTCTCAAGTTCAAAAAATTAATCTTATTTAGGATCTGTGGTAATTACACTTTTCTTCATGGCATGTGTGTTCAGGCTTTGAAGTTTAAGTCTTATTTGAAGAGTAGCAGTCCTTCATTTTCCTTCAAAACGCCGGTGGCCATGTCAGATTTCATTCTGCATTATACAGATGGGGAGGAATGGGATTGCAGAGCTGGCTTGTGATGGATTTTACATCTGCAATAACGCTATGGAGTGAAATTTGGAGTCAMTCCAGATACTTCTTTTTGTACGTTGGGAGTGGAGCTGCCCTCACATAAACTGCAATTATTTCAACCAAGGGAGCTCCTTGCTTGCTTGCTTCCTGCACTTCTAACGTCTTGTTCTGCCCCGTCTCCACCAGCTCGTCGAACCTCTGACACCCAGCGGAGAGGCACCAAACCAGGCTCATCTGAGAATTTTAAAGGAAACTGAATTTAAGAAGGTCAAAGTTTTAGGTTCGGGAGCTTTTGGCACTGTTTATAAGGTAAGATCACTAGGTTTCCTTTCCTCACTCCTCCTTGCTCCTACGTGCAGAATCCACCCAAGCAAAGCACAAGCTGGTTGCTGAGAGCACTGTTGTAAGGTTTTTTGTTAGCTTTTGCAGTATGCATATGTTGAACTGGTAGGAGGACTACTAAATTATCATTATTTGATGTATGAATCAGTATATGGTGATACAAGGAGAAGCTTTACATAAGGTGTTTCCAGAGCCATACTGCTGAGCATGGGACAAAGATCTCTGTTTAAAAACTGCTGCTGCCAAATATAACCTGTTGTGAAAATGTTGGGGGCTGAGGGGGGACACTCTGGTCAGCTCAGGGCTAAGCAGTTTTACTCTCTGGTTTTGGTCTGGTTTCTGTAGTCCTCAGTCACTCTTCCTCAGTCAAACCAACCAATTTAGAATTGTAGCAAAGAGTGTATACGCTTTCATTTGTGTAGTTCTGCTGTGGGTTTTTTTTGCCTTTTTCTGTTTTTCATCCTTTTCATTTATGCTTTTATTCTTCACCAGGACCCACCTTTCTCTACTCCTCCTGTTCAACTTCCATTTCCAGGCTTTCTTTTTTTTCAGCTTGTGGTACCAAAATATCAACTGTAGATTCTTGCCTTTGGTTACAAAGCTCTGCATTTTGCAGCAGGTTTCCAAATGCAGCTAAGAGCAGCATGGGCACAAATCCCACTGACTCCTGAAAACACGCACCTGCCCTCCTAGGTACTTCAGCAGAGCCTCCTCATAGCACCATATGTTTCCTCTGCCTCCTACCCAAGCACCAAGGCAGCTGGACATAAACATACCTGTCACTGGATATATTTAGGGCTGGAGAACTTGTGCAGGACCACTGCCATCTCGTTTCCTATGAGAAAATCCCAGTCCTTTTAATCCTGCAGTTTATAAACTGGAAATGGCAAGGTTTTGCTCATGCAGCTACCACAGTGCTTGACATTCATTAGGTTTCCATCTTTAGAGGCTACTTTTTGCACATCTTTTGGGCTATTTATATAGGTAAGGTGATGAATGTTTATATAGGTAAGATGATGAATGTGGATTTTAAATATATATATATATATATATATATATATATAGTGAAATTACTTACTCTATTTTTATTGTCTGCATTGCCTTACTATTGCTCCAAATATTTACTTCTACTAAGAAAATGTAAAATGTAGTTGTAATTATGAGAATTAGCACATTGGATTATAGTCTGATTAACTCTTTGTACTTCTTTTCATAGGGACTTTGGATCCCTGAAGGGGAAAAGGTGAAAATTCCTGTTGCTATTAAAGAGTTGAGAGAAGCTACATCACCCAAAGCCAACAAGGAAATACTTGATGTGAGTTTTTGGGTTCTTTTTGCCAAGTTTGTCAGTGGTCTCTGAATTTTCCTCTCAATAGCAGAACAAATTCAGGACTTTGTGTGGGAAGAAATACTTAGCACCCTAAACCAAATTCCCCGTACAGGAGTATTGTGCTGCCATGCAACYGTTGCATGATTGACTTGAAGTGTATTTCTGTCTTCACTGAACCCCCTGTTCACAGTCCAAATACTGAATTTTATACTCAGTAAGCAGGAMCTGGCCTTTAAGGATAGGTCAGAATTCAAGTTTTTCAGACAAGATTGTTTGCTCTATTCTGATGTTTCAGGCCTTATGTTATGGCATTTATTGCTATTATAGCAATACGAATGGAAACAATAACAACAATATCTGTTTTTCCAATCCCAACATTGCAGATTGTCTTAAGCCAATTCCTTGGCTAGATATCATTAATTTCATTATAAAATCAAAAGAACAAACTCAAGCTATCTGGTATCTCTGCCGTGAATAATGAGAAATTATATGGCTGGATGAGATAGATGCAGGAATTCTTGTTTTCTTCCTTGGACATACCTCTTAATCTCCCCCAAATAAGTAAAGAAGCTACAGGATGCTATTCCTCATTTGCTTTCACAAAGGCCGAGATCAGCAGTTCTCGAAAAGAGCCGGCTTGTGTCAGCACCCTGTGACACTTCCCAGGAGCTGCYTGGAGCCATGGCCCCAGGCAACTCGCTGTATGGTGGATGAGCTGCTTTACATGGCCATGGGAAGCTGCAAGATGGAAACGAACATCCRGTTTTTCTCCGTTGACTTCTGGGGTCAGCTTAACTGTAGCTAATCATCCCTTGCTTTAGGAATCAGGCCGAGGTCATGGCTGAGCCCAGTCTGYATTTGTGCACACACCAGGGCCTGACCACTGTAGGTGCATGTGGTCATGTGTGTGCATATGAACACTTACGTCCTCCACGAGGGTTCACAAATGCATAGATTTACAACAGAGGGGACAGAATCCCAAATCCAAAACATCTTGGACTTGGAGAACAGTCAGAAACGTCTGAAAATCTGCTTTCTGCCACTACATCTTGATCCAACTTAGTACAAACCACTGAGGATGTACATTTATCTGCAAGGAAAGTACTGAGGGTTCGAATATGAGCATCTGGTGCTCAGTGTAGCTTCAGTGGACCTTCCTGCACTTCTGATGCAGGAAGAGACTCCTTAGAGACACGAAACATGCTGCTTGTGTGAGTCTTGCTCAGCCCTCTGAGCTGGAGCCTCCTGGTCGGCACGGGGACATCCCAAGGCCATGGAGGGTGTGCCAGACAGCTGGTGTCTTGAGAGGTTCTTCTTGCTCTTCCCAAATGAACGTGTCAGTTGAGTGCTTGTTCACAGGTTGCTTAGTTTGGAGCCAGCTACAAGCTCACAAATACCGCTCAAGTACTTTTTCTCTGGAAGGTAACGTGTAGACATTTTGCTTCCCAACGTGGTCCAGGTTTTCCCTGAATACATGTACACACGTCCAGGGCCTCATTATTCCATRTCCCTCATTTTCTAGCTTTATGCAAACAGCAAAGGAACAAGGTAACTGAAGCTGATGTAAACAGTGGTGAGAAAAGTAGCATAGGCTTCATAAAGGATGCTTTGAACTTAGCTGTATTACATTCATGTATATTGAAGCACTGTTCAATAAGGTTAATTAACTAGGTCTATCGTATTGCATTCTGCCTTCAGCAGATCAGGATATTCCCAAGGCAGGGTAGGAGATGCATAGAGTCTTCACATGTGTTCTGCAGAGATATCAAAATACTTCTTGTGTCATATATCTTTTTTTTTTTTTTTTTTTACTCTATGAAAGTAGGAGTCTTAATATAAGGTCTTTCAGTTTGTTCATTTGTTAGACAACTGGGTTGGTGAAATTCGTTCTGTATTTCAAAGGAAAAGGAAACCTGCAGAAACAGGGAAGGAAATCGGAGGAGAACACTGAAATCCCCTTTCAAAAAATATTTTCCTTGCTACTGACTCCTCAAGCTTGCTAAAATCTCAGCAATACTGCTGTCCAGCTAAGGCCATTCCTCTTAGAGAGGCATGTGAGCTATAGAGCGAGTCAGGCAGCTTGAGCCTGTGTAATCCAGGCGGGCTCTCTCTAGCTTCATTAGGGTAGGGCTAATACAGAAGATTGTTGCTGAATACCACACATACTTGGAGCAGGTCGGAGCGTACCGCCAAGATCTCCAAGATAAACAGTCGGAACAAAGGCTGTTTTCAACATCTTGGGCTGTGCGGAGGGACCGCAGCGGCCGCGCGGGCTCTGCAGCACATGGCCAGGGGCTCCCGGGCTGCAGATCCCAGCAGCTCCCAGGCCGCAGGTCCTTCCCTCGGCCAAAATTAATACAAGATTAGTCTCAATCCCCCAGTGGGAAGCAGTGCAAAGAGCAGAGGCTGCTCATCGATGCAATTGCCCGGCTTTGCAGCAACTGCAGAGATGAGCGTATTTYGGTCTCTGCTTGCAACGGAGTGTCATTTACTAGGCTCAAAAGAATCCCTAAAAATAGCTGCCAGAAATATCACCTAGTTTATTAGCACATCACATTCTTGCTTTATCTTCTCTCAAACTAACCTACAGAATCAGTGCTGTCCCTGACAGAGGATTGCTTTCCAATTAGCTGTTTGTATGATGCAGGAGGCTGATGAGCCCTTACATGGTCCTGTTGGACATGTTCTTTAATATGAATACCCAGAGGCTTCTTTCTAAAGCAAAAAGCAGCTGAAAGCAGAGTTAGCACCTCTGAAAATGAAGCCCTGTGTCTTAGTATTACATCACKCCTTGCTTGGGCTGGCATGTCAAAACAGCAATACCAAGGACAGTGTTGCTTCAGAGTCAGGGATGTTTATTTCTTGAACGTCATTACTTTAATGACTTTATTTAATCATAGTTCTTACCAGCTGTGCAGCTATGTGACATCTGTGGAGAGGTTTTTAGAGAATGAGTAAAGTGCTATGGTATTTTATTTCTTAAGCTCTTACCAAGCACGGATCTGTTCCCTTCCCCTGTCACAATAGTGTCTTGACTTTTGTTTTATGTTTCTTTGGGCTGCCAGCCTAATGTTGAATTGTCAAGGGATGATTAGTTGGTGTCACTCCAGATGCTGAGCTAAAATGCTGGCCTAAAAGCTCACTACATGGAAAAAAATCCCATTTCCTATTGTGTTTATTTTCAATCAAGTGGCTTTAGAAGATGACGAGAAGTGAAATACTGTAAATCAGGCACAAAGTTAGTCAAAGAACTTCAAATTGAGTTGGCACTCGATAGTGGATATCAGTATAAATATAGACATCAAATTTAATTCTGTAAGTAGCTTTTGCATGCAAAAATCCTTTGAGTTTGAGGGACCTTTTTCTCACTGTGGCCATGCAAAGAGCTGTACTTGCTGTGCCTGGAAGATACTGCACCAGCCTCCGGAGGGGTTTCTCTCTCTCCTTAACTGCAGAAAGAGCACGGAAAGGTTCCTTGGGTACCTTTGATAGGTGCCTTAAGGCTACTAGGATGAACCTAGGCTTGAAAGAAGAGTTCCTCATGTCTTGATGAAATGAAATGCTAAATTCCTCTTGACTAAAGAGCTTATGAAACATGAGCTCCCTTGTTTTAAGAAACGCACTATTTTTTAAGAAAAATACTTTTTTTCAATATTGTTTATCTTGCTATATGGCTCTGAAAGAGCTTCTTCTATTAGGGACATTATTTTCATCACTGTTTTTTAAAGGAAGAATGGTATACAGACATCTAAAGGGATAAACTGATTCTTAACCATTCGGATTGGCTTTTAAAAAATGTGGCTGCTTTGACCTTGTTTTCCTCTTCTGTCAGTCTCATCCTAACTGACAGCTTCTGGTTGATCCAAATGGTCATTGGGGTCAATAGCAACCTTGACAGAAGCCTCAGAAAGGAAAAGACRCATAATGTTCCTAACTTAGTTGCCCTTGTGATTACACATTCAAAATGTTGAACTGACATCAGCTTCCACTGATGTTAAACTTAGCCATTTCTTTTAGGGCTTTAAGGTTTTTTTTGCCTCAGAAATTTATGTCAAACATTGTCTTAGTGCACCATAAGTGGCAGACATACCCTTCACCGCCTTCAGACCCTTCCACCACCATCTGAAGCAATGCTCCATGTTCAAAGCCTGGACCTTCCACCCAGTAGAAAGAACTTTGTCCAACTTAATGAGAAGTAGCACTTTTGCATGTGATCTGAGGCACGCTGTTTGCATGTAGTATTTTAGCAACCAGTTAAGTGATAAGCTTATTTTACTCTGACTCCAGCTGTTTCCATTGCTCAGCAGAAGATGTTTCACATTGCTTTCCTTTGTCCTTCCTTTCTCCTCAGGAAGCTTAYGTGATGGCTAGTGTGGACAATCCTCATGTCTGCCGCTTGCTGGGGATCTGCCTCACTTCCACCGTGCAGCTCATCACGCAGCTCATGCCGTACGGCTGCCTCCTCGACTACATCCGCGAGCACAAGGACAACATTGGCTCCCAGTACCTCCTCAACTGGTGTGTGCAGATCGCAAAGGTAGGTGGGCCACCTGGCTCTCCAGAAAGCCGAGAGCAACCTGTAACAAGGACAGCATTTATTTAGCTACCTATCTGTACAGGTGTTCATATTTCCCAAGTCCCTGTGGTTCCTAGATATTTTATAGGTGGCAGGAAATTGTTATTTAATTTTTTTTTTTTTACACCGTTTTCATGCCGCCGTAAAAACCTGAACTCTTCAAAATGTTCCTATACAGAGTATTCTCACTGGCAGGTCTATGTCCAACCCAAACATTCAGAAATAAAATGAAATAAATGAATATGTGGCAGAGGAAGGAATAGAATTTGGCAATTTGATACCAAAATGCTGCTTCCATCAGTGGATTTCTTTGGGCTGTGCACCAGGACAGACAGTGATACTGTCAAATACTCCCTGTTTTGTTTCTGAGAGTAATGGCCCCAGTTTTTCAGGCTGGAGTCTCTGAGGCTGGGGCATTGAAACTGCTCACTGATAAATGCCAGCTTGGTTCTGCAGGCTGGTTGGGACTCAATGATGTTTGGGCACCCGAGGGCTGTTCTGCAACTTATGTGTGCTGAACTGGTGCAATAATCTAATTGTAATGGCCGTAATGCCGAATAAGAGAGTCATTATCACACCTGGCACTGGTTGCCTGCTCTGCGTTGAACTCAGCAAAGAGCCAAAGGAGAGAGTGGCAAAGGAGACAGAGCTGCAGTCGCAATAGCAGCAACATTCTGTGTTTGAAACGTGCCTGGGCACTTGTGAGCGTGGCAAAACAGGGCAAAAAGAACAGCTGTAGAGTGCATAAGTTTTGTTGTATGAGGTGCAATACCTGCAAAGCCCGAGTCCTTCAGTGCTGCTCATTTCTGTGATGCTGGTCTGTAAGTCAATCCTGTGCTTGCAGCCTTATGGCTCCCTCGAGGCCGAGTACACCGAGCTCTCCAGGGCCGTGGCGAATTATTGAAGTGGCAAAATGCACCCTCGGGRCGTCGTGGCTGCGTGCGCTGGCCCCACGGGTCGCCATTCACGATTGTTGGCTTCCCTTTGATTTCGCCCCCGTCCGTTCGACGTTCGCCCGTAGAGGCCCCCGGCCTCGCTAGGGCTGCTTGACCTTCCCCGAGCGCCTTTGTGGTGCTCCRCACGGAGGGGCTCCTCAGAGCGCTCCCACACAAAGCGCCCGGCTTTTTCCCACCGATGTCTCCAGTGCTGCCCCTGTGATGCAGTCAGGGACCCTTTTTGTTTTGTTTTTTACTTTTTTAAAATGTTCACTCTTTAAAACTGTACTTTTTGACAGTGAGAGGGGGAATCGTAGCAAACATATTGTGTCTGGTAACTACCCAGCAGGAGACGAGTTCCTGGAGAAACTTATTTTTGTTTCTGTTTTCACGGCTTTGAAATAATTTTTCTTTGTACCATTTATAAACATCATCTTTCACTGGGACAGAGAGTCATGTCAAAATGTTATAGCAAAGAGCACATACATTCCACGTGCAGAAACACTGTCAGGGAACTCTTTGAATGCATTAGCCTCACACTTAATAATCAGAAATGCTTTAAATCCCAGGTCTGCACGTAATTACAGATCTGCTGAACTTTCTGCATGGGCAGCTCAGTGTCTTCCGTGCACAGTTATGCATGTGCACAAGTGTTTTAGCTATCAGAGGCTTAAATATCTTAATGTGAAACTGATACMCTGCCTTTCAGCAGCTTTGAGTCTTAACAAGCCTCTGCATCTCTGCATGTTTAGCAGGAAATTTTTTGTTCTACCAGGGCTAAATTAAGTGACTTCTTTTTTTTCTAACATAGTCCGTTTTCTGTCAGCAGCTCAGGAATTTTTTGTTTCCAAAGCTCAGCTCATTAAAGATATATTTATATAATTAAGTACATGCTCATGTGCCAGTTTGTTTGGGAGGTTTGTTTTGGCAACATCCGCAGCTCAGGGCACGGGTGAAGCTCTGCTCTGAAACTTCAGGGAGGATCTGATGGTGGTCCAGGTTAGCCGTGGGCTCGGGAAGGGGGTGGAAGCTGGAAGAGCTCTATTCCCCTCAGTGCTCTGTCATCAGGCTAATAGGATCATCTTGTTGTTAAATTTGTAGACTAGCAGTGCTTTTTTTGCTAACTCTTGCCTTCAGAAACGTACAAACAAACACACCACCGCCAGCAGGAACCTATCAGCTGGGAATAATTGTGGTTTTTAGAAAGGACCTTTCAGGAAACTTACAGAGCCTTTTGATTTCATACGTGAAAGAGAGTGGAGTTGAGAGAAAGGAAAATAATCGCCGTGGTCACAAGTGCAGATGTTGGATTCATGCCTTGAAAGTCCAACCAGCACAATTAACCATTTTATCTGTCCGGGAGCTCCGCTGGTTGCTCTGGAGAAAAGCCGTGTTCCTCCTGCAGCAGCAGCTGTATCAAAAGAGCACGTATGCGATGGCAAACGGAGTCTGATCAGGGCGGAGGAACTGGTAGGACTCGCCTTTTCCAGCAGAACTTGAAAACAGATGCAGCTCTGAGCTCTGCCATAAAAGCAAATTTTCTTCCCTTTTATCACCTCCGCAGTGGGCTGCCTGAGTTTGGGTAGCTAAAGTCAGTGGGCACTATAACGAGGCGCAGGAATAGCGGGATCCACCTCTGGGGATGGTTAATTCCCTTTTACTCAAACTCTTCTCCCAGGCCACTAACACCAAAACACTCGTGCAAAATATGGGCCCGCGAAAAAACTTCCTGTAGGGGCAGTACCACAGGCGCCAGCTTCTCTGTGTGTGAGTCCTCACCCTTTRCTAAGCAGAGCATCACTTGAAATGGCTAACCTGGGGTTTTTATTTATTTTACATTTTTTGGAGCGAGGCTTAGGCTGCCACATGTTTATGGCAGCGTGTCTGCAGTTAGCCCCAAGCAGCCCGAGTTTGCTAGCTTGCCTGTGCATCCCAGCCCCACACGTGCGAGCTGGATGCTGACCCCGGCTCTGTCGCATTGCAGGGAATGAACTACTTGGAAGAGCGTCGCCTGGTGCACCGCGACCTTGCCGCCAGGAACGTCCTCGTCAAAACTCCTCAGCACGTGAAAATCACCGACTTCGGGTTGGCCAAGCTGCTTGGTGCTGATGAGAAAGAGTATCATGCGGAGGGAGGCAAGGTGAGACGTGCTGGCGAACGGGCACCTCTCGGGACGTAGGTGCTCATGTGGCCGCGTGAGGCTGTGCTTTAAAAACAAGAACATTACGCAGGGGCTTCCAAAGGGCTCGGCTGCCAGCGCAGCTTGGTGCCTTTGAAGCCTGTGGGAGTCCTCTGAATTCAGCCGGAGCCGCGTCGGGCCAGTGGGACTGCAGTGGGAGCAGAGGTAGCAGAGCCATGAGTGCTTTGGAAATTCCCACCCAGAATGTCTGGGAAAAAAAACAAGATTATTTAAAAAAAAAAAAAGCATAAAACAGAGCTTGTCTGAATTCGCCGGTTTAGCCAACACCAATAATGTTGTGCCGTTTATGAAGAGAAAGGGAATGCTGCATATTTATAGCAGAAGAAAGACCTGTCAGACTTGGTTCAGCATGCCTTCATGTTGTACTACGTGCTGATGGAGGGAATGCATCCTGCTGAGAAATTAAAGAGAAGCTGCTTGTGAATATTGCAGAGGCCATAAATGGAAACCACATGAGCCTGAACGAGCCTCCGTCATACGGCCTGGGATCGTGTTTGTGTCTTGTTATGATAGGAGAATGTTTAAAGGAAAAAAAAAGTAACGTAACTGTTAAAAATATTGCAAAACTAACGTATTAGGGATATTTCTAATAAGCTGAATATTGCACAAGTTCCCAGGTTCAGCATAGGAAATGAAAACAATAATAAAGGGCTTAGAAAGTTGCCTGCTCGTTCTCTCAGATACTTGTGTTGTTTTTTTATGGTCTTTTTTTTTTTTTTTTCTTTCTTCTTCAACCAAACTATTGGTTTAAACACCACCTGGTGGTAAATACTGCTAATAAATTTGGGGTAAGGGTTTTATGGTTTATTTGTAAATCTTCTTAGGTTCCTATTAAATGGATGGCTTTGGAGTCAATTTTACACCGGATCTACACTCATCAAAGTGATGTCTGGAGTTATGGTGAGTCTGACAACATAATTATTATGAGTGGGTTTGAAAATTTGCAGGATTTGCTAGTGACTCTACCCAACTTAATCTCTTTCTTTTCTCCCTACTACCTGACGATTGAGTGATTAAACAGTATAATGAGCCAAAACCACCTATTTAACAAAGTAAAATTCCCATGAAATTGAATGCTAGTGAGGTGTAAACTGATTTTCAGAATATATTTTGACACCTGGAGCCCTTTACTGAAAGGAGCTGCAGGTAGGAGATTAAGCTGTATTTGCTGAGGTTCTGGTGACACTTTTTAGTATGAAATAGAGATAACTGGACAGACAAGAAAGCACCATAACCAGAGGGAAGATTTAAAAGCACTAGCTGACGCTGGCGGTCAGTGTTACTCAGTGGCATTACTTTAGCTGAGGACACAAACTTACTTTGTTGCAGTGGTTAGAGCTTTAATATAAAATTGTTAACCTGCCAATGCTTCAGAACCAGAGAGAGTCAGTAGGGTGAGCGCAAACCTGGTACACCTGAGAGGACACCATGAAAAGGGAAGTAAACTAATAACCTCCTTAGAGAATTACTTTTACACTTGGTGTGGTTCATAAGCCAATCTCAAAGAAAGAGTTGTAAGAAAAATGTTTTCAGAGTATCTTRCTCCATAATTTCCACACTTACATTCCTGGAAAATATTTTGTGCAGATGATAAAGTCCCATGTCTTTTTAGAAAAAAATGCAGCTTTTGGTCCTGATAATTCATTTATGTTTCTTGGCATGCAAAATCCTGTTTTGTATCCTAAGCTACCAGAGAGTCACAACAACTGCATTGCAGAGGACGTGGTATGTCAGTAAAAGGCATGGAGACAGTTGGTTTAGAAAACTTGGAGAAAGTGCTGCTCTTCTCCAGAGAGACTGTTTTAAACAAGAAAACAATTTCCATTTTTAAACTACTTCCTAGGTTGGCATCACTAGTTGAGATCCCTTATTTCCTTTTTGTTAGGCTGGAAAGTTTGTTGGTTATTCAAATCTAAGATATTAGTTGAGATTTAAAAATCTTTAATATRCCATGATGATTTCTTCCTGTTTTATTCATCTGTCTCTCTCTAAAGGAAGGGCAGAAAATGCTTTTCTGCAGCCCTAGCAGTTCAATGCCTCTTGAGGAACCCTTGCTGCTCTGAAGGACGCATTCTTGCTGCCCATCTTCTGACACAGTCTGTGCTCCAGCCAAGTAAACTGGCTCCTGGAGTCATCCCCTCACTGTCCCCCTCTTTGACCTTGCAGGTGTGACTGTCTGGGAGCTCATGACATTTGGGTCCAAGCCATATGAAGGGATCCCTGCCAGCGAAATTTCCTCAGTCTTGGAGAAGGGCGAGCGTTTGCCTCAGCCCCCGATCTGTACCATCGACGTCTACATGATCATGGTCAAATGTGAGTCAAGCACATCTTGTGTTCAGTCCAGTAAGGACAGAAGGACAGTTGCTTTAGTTGTGTTGCACTTATACATTCATATATATATATATATATATATATATATATGCACTTATATATGTTGTATTCTTAATGCTTGCATGGAAAAATTGTTATGTGAGAAGAGCAATGCCGCTGGAGTCCGTCCTAGCACCTTGTGTTTCCATCAGTGGTGCGGGATTTCATTCCAGTAGTCACTAATTCAGCCAGCTAAGACTCACAACAGAATTTCATATTCATGCTGCTAACTGATATTGCCCTATTTCAAGCTGAATGAGACTGTCGAGGAATATAAATGGCCACAACCAAGGGCTTTGGCACCCTTGAGCTCGTCCCGTTTTCGCCCTCTAGCAACTGCTCTGATATGGGGTGATTATTTGACTTCTTGTGCCGAGCATTCCTGCTGCCCAGTCCCCTTGGCGTCTCTGAGGATGCTCATAGCCCACTAGATGGCATTTAAAGACCTTCTCAGCAGAGCAAAACGCCCCATTCTTGATGCAGGGTGATCTCCCARCCTTAGGGCAGGAGTTCTGGGGCATTCCGGCTGCAGCTACACAAGGTATCCAGACCCCAGCACTGCCTCGAAAAGCTTTCCTCTGGGCTTAAAATTCGGAGTGAAGCCCAGAGTGAATCTGGGCTCTGATCCTTTCTTCTGCCCAGGGATTTGGTCACACGTCTTGGGCTGCCCTAGTCACCCCATGTCCACAGCTGGCATCCCTGCAGAAGCAGCATTGCTTTTCCCAAAGGACGTGGGGATTGCCAGCTGTCATTTGTATAAGCGGGGAGAGTATGTTGAAATGGGCAGGATTATTGCACTGCGTTTACTGTGGGGTTTTTTTCTTTTTTTTAAACAATGTTATTTAAACATTTGGAGTTGAGAACTAGCAGGTGCTAACTGTTTAAAAGTGAGAGGAATTTCTTTAATTGCTACAAATTTWAAAAAGAAGAATTTAGCAAGGGAGCATATTGCTAGCATGGCAAGAAGCCACTTACACTGAAGAGATCTTGTCTAAAGCAGATTTCAGACAACATAATATTGCTTCATTCCTCTGTTACTGTGTATAGAACATTTCTTATGAGTTCAGCTAGGCACACTGACCTTAATCTTTATTATTTTTAATTTTCAATGCAAGGATCTCTAGATCAGCTCCTCTCTTGGTTGATACACGAAAGTCTGGCTTCTCTAAGTAATCTCACGTGTAGAAACACCAGTATCAGTATTAGTGTGGATCAATGATGAAGAGGTTTCTAAGCTGTATGATTTGCTTTTGTTAAAGTCCATTTGCTAATAAAATACAGCTATAATCTCTCCAAATATCCCAGTTTGTTGTTTTAGAAGTTTAGGAGACACCTGGTACAACAAGTGGGAAAAAAAAAAGGAACTGTAATTTTTGCTTTAGACTTCTATTGACTTCATGAAGCTGCGTGGTAAGACACAGATGCTCCAAGCAGTCGGCAAAGGCCTACTGAAATTAGCTTGTTTCTCCTCCTGCCAGAGCTCTTCCAGAGCAGTTTTAATGTGGATTGATCTGGACTGGTCACCCAYCAGTTACCATCAGTTAATTGGTACTCTATGGTTTAGTGGAGCTTGTCTCCCTGCCCAAGCTGGAGTTGGCCCTCAAGAGAGGGGACAGCCCCAGGCTGGAGAAGAACCAGGCTGAAGAACCTTCCTCACAGACCAACAGGGCATTTGTTTTAAATGCTAAAACTCCCACTAACCAGTGGCTGGTGTGAATTAACTGGTGTGGAGCTGCTCTCTTTGTTTAATGCTTGACCCGGTTATTTCCTTCTTAAGCTCTGTGTTGATTACCAGATTAACTGCGTGTGTGCCCTGCTTTGCCTCCCCCAGGCTGGATGATTGATGCCGATAGCCGTCCCAAGTTTCGCGAGCTCATAGCGGAGTTCTCCAAAATGGCCCGAGACCCTCCACGCTACCTCGTTATACAGGTACCCAACTCAGTGGTGGGCAGGTGTCTGAGGGACACTTAACATGATGCCTAAATCAATTGGTGACATGTGTAAAAATATACTGGCCAAAATACCATTTTTTCCTCAATTGTGCAGCTACGCCATGAAATAAGCCCACATTGAGCCCACATTAAATATRCCTGTTCTAAGAGCATGTCACCAGTTCAAGCAGAATTATATGTTCTACATATAGTATTTGTGTGTGCTGCAATGAAATCTTTACTATACTGGCATTTCCTTAAAACTGAAAGATCCAGAATAAAAGTGGCATAAAGAAATCAGAGAATTAGAGAAGGTAGATCTGTTGAACTGTTCATCTCACTGCTAGTGAAGGATTGTTTCCTATTATGTTTGCTGAAACTCTATGTGGAAAGAGAAACAAAATAGGAAGATAAGAGCAGTTGTGGAATAGATGTCAAACATCTTCTTTGGTTTTGATGGTAAAGGGAAACAGAGCAGAACTGTGCTCTGTGAAATAGTGACAGAGCTATTTCTTAAAGCTCACAGCCAGTAATACAGGTATGAGTTGAGGAAATATATTTTCATTAATTTTTAGCTCATGTTCATAATGTAAGGCCAGATTTACTGGATGGGATTTAATTGAAAGATGTGCGAGTCCTCTCTGACGGTGGTTTTTCTGACAGGGAGATGAAAGGATGCACTTGCCCAGCCCTACGGATTCCAAGTTTTATCGCACCCTGATGGAAGAGGAAGACATGGAAGATATAGTAGATGCAGATGAATATCTTGTTCCACACCAGGGATTTTTCAACAGCCCCTCAACATCYCGGACTCCGCTTCTGAGTTCATTGGTACGAAACTTTCCATCTAGGAACACAGGCCAAGCAGATTTCAAACAAACTGTTTCTCATGTCTTTTCTGTCTTTCTTTTTAAAAGAGTGCTACCAGCAACAATTCTGCCACAACCTGTATTGACAGAAACGGGGTAAGTGCATGATGACTTCTGAAAAAAAGGAGATCCTTTTCCTTTCAAAGTCCCTTGCTTTCCCTTTTGTTGAGTCATTTTTGTGGCTCAGGTTCTACAAAGCATCCTCTTCAAAGCTAATTTTCCGAACCTGTGCTTCCAACCTAGCAGGGACACCCAGTGAGGGAAGACAGCTTTGCCCAGAGATATAGTTCAGACCCGACAGGCGCGTTCTTGGAGGACAGCATAGACGATGGCTTCCTGCCTGCACCAGGTGAGTTCCTCTCCTACCTCTCCTGTTTTTCCATCCTCAAGGCCATTCATTGGTGATGTCTGTGGTTATTTGAGGATTCTTGCTCAAATATAATCATTTTCCAAGCAACTCCAGTGCTTCCTACCTTTCTTTTTTTTTCTTTTAATCAGAAAACAGGAGAATGGGTGCACCTTTGGAAAATGTATGCGCATTTCCTTTTCTTCTACTTTTTTTTTCTGTCTGCTTCTGACCACCTCTCACTTCAGTTACTTTGCCTGTGAGATTGCTCATGTTTGTTGTATGTACCATCTGGCTAGGGATTTTGCATAGGTGTGTTCGTGCTTAAAGTTTTCTGCTATTTCTGCACCACAGAAGATCTCCCTTAAAAACTGCTTTCACCCCTTACACCTCTTAAGCCATTTCTGCAATACTTTGGGTAGCCAGCAGRCAGCAATCATGCAGGAAGCCACACTAGTTTTATGTCTTCATTTTCATTCTCTATTTTTTTTTTATTTTTAATTCCAGAGTATGTAAACCAGTTGATGCCCAAGAAAGCATCTGTGGCAGTGGTCCAGAATCCAATCTACAACAACTGCTCTGTCTCAGGAAACTCCACGGACTCGGGCTACCAGAATTCCCACAGCACAGCCGTGGACAACCCTGAGTATCTCAACACCAGCCAGTCTCCTCTGGGCAAGACAGTCTTCGAGAGCTCTCCATACTGGATCCAGGCAGGCAATCACCAAATAAACCTGGACAATCCTGACTATCAGCAGGACTTCCTGCCRAAGGAAAGCAAACCTAATGGTCTTTTGAAAGTTCCTGCAGCAGAAAACCCAGAGTATTTAAGGGTAGCAGCACCAAAAAGTGAATACATTGAAGCCTCAGCATGACCATAGAGAATTACTTCTTGCAGCGAGGCAAGCCAGACTCTTGGTGAAGCACCTGGCTGCTGCAAGAACAGACTCTGCACAGAGCAAATGGCAACTGCATCAGCCAGCACATCTTCCAGCATGTGGGCTGAAATTGCAAAGCACATTTGACAATATGAGTTAGGGGTTTTCTTGCCCCTTTCCATGTAATAATGGAATTTTCCCTTTCCATGTAATACACCGCATGTACTTGGATGCATGTTGGAAGAGAGTGGGATCTTCCTGTGCGTAAAGAAGAGCAGATGCATTCCTTTCATTTTCAAGTGGTAGCAGTGTAAGAAGCCATTCTGGGATGAACTTGGGAGCTRTACACGTTGCACAGTCAAATTCCTTTCTACAGTGCATATTTTTATAAATGTTTCTAAGAGAGTTTTTGGGTCTTCTACAAGATCAGATACTTATACTGCTGGTCTGTTATGTGATGCTCAGATCATCAACAAGGGAAAAAAGAAGATTGTATTAAATACTCTTGAGAAGAGTTTCTCAAAAGTCTTGGAACATAAATAGCTGTTCCAAACAATTGATTTTTTTTTAAACGAATTATCTCCTTATTCCACTTCCTGACAAGAACAGGAAAAGTGCATCTGGGAGATGTGTGGGAGATTCTGTTCACAGAAGTCTGAAGTGGATTACTCTGGGGAAAACTAGCACAAGGACCGAATGGCAAGACACATCAACTTCTGACCACTAGTGCTAAAAACTGACAGGAGGAGCTCAGCTCAAAACCCTTTATAAATGTTTATCAAGTGCTCACTTGTCTCTTTTCTGATGGTCAAACACAAGACATTTTTTTTCTGATCCATTCCGCAGCTGTAGAGTTGTCAAAAATGCCTTTTTCTTTAACAAAAGTGTTAGAAGATGTTGCCATAACTGAAAAATGAAGCATCAAATAACATTTAACAGAGTTTTAATTAAAAGTCAAGGAAATGCCAACGGTGGCAAATTGGAGTACTCRTGAGACAGACAGTCTGAAAGAACTACACTAAATTAAACTTGACTAGGGGAAACACAGGTAGCTCTACCCAAGCAGTTTCATTTCCCTTCTTAAGGCAGCTCAAGGCAGGAATTGTTTTTCTGCGTACATTTGGCACAGAAAAGGGGCACATCAGCACTACACTTTTGTGATCTTCAGGCAGTTGCTGCCAATTGCTGGATCGTTGTAGGTTAGGAGCCGGGGCTGCTTGCCTAGTTGTACTCATCCCACTTATCTTGGCAATATGGGGAGTAATGGGAGGATGAATAAATGGAAAGAAGAAAAACAGAGGATGCTAGAAAATTTCATCATCCTGTACTGAAGCACAGGGATGCCTTCTGTTCCTTTAGATAGACCACGTGAAGTCACAGGGTAGCAGAGGATATATAGCATTTTTTGAAGGGCAGAAAATGGTCAATTCTGTGCTCCACGTTGGTGCTTTGAATATTGCAGTATGTTTGTCCACATACATATTGCATCTGGAATCCAGAACCGAGCAGAAGCTCCTTAGAAAAGCCTTAGCTTTTAGAGATTTATTGAGGATGGATGGAAAAGAATGGTCATGTGACATGCCCCCTTTAAAAGTAATGCAGTGTAAAATGCACTCATGGTGTGTGCCATGCCATGGTGCACCAGCCACACAGCGGCCTGGGGTAGGACGGAGTCTTTGCTCCAAACCCCAGGGTTGTCCTGCCTGGTCCATATGTGTCACGGTGACCAAGTCCCCATCACAGTCTTGTGAAGGAAGCGGCGCTTGAYTTTGCTGCTGGCTCATATTCCAAGCATAAACTAGGATCTAGTTCCCATGTCCAGTTAATGATAGATTCCTCCTTGCACCCCTGAGAGCAGATTTGCTGGGCTGCTCTCCTGTGTGGGCGACGTACCACTTCTCCCCATGCGCTGCCCCAGAAAAGGATATTTATAAAATCCAGAAGTACTGTAATGGGAATCATGGAAGATTTATTGGTTTGCTAAATTTGTTACAATGCCAGGAAAAGCAGCAGAAAATTATAGCATGCAGTGTTTTCCTACAAAATCACTGATGTGCAAAATAATTTATTTATATTTTTTATTATTTGAATCTGTTATCTAAAACAAACAAAAAAGCCTTAAGGAGTAGCAGTATGTGTCACCAGCATTATGTAGCATGTAAAACATCTAATACAGAGGAATGTGCTTGCCTTTTTACGACAATTTAGGAGGGATTCAGTAACAACCCTTTATTAGAACTGGGAAGGCCCATTTAAAAATCCAGAAATGTAAGCCTGAAAATTGTCCTACTTTGAATGTACTGTGCTGAGAAATAGAGGAGAGAGGATGCAGCAACTGCAGGCTCTCATTACAAAGGTGCAGGGCGACTCCAGATTTGTGGGATTAGCAATACTTTAAAACAATTCCCATGAATATGCACCCTCCAAGCTCCGTTCTGCAAATTGGCAGCTCTGTAGGGAGGCGGTGCTGGGAGCGCAGGGGTGCACAGCAGCAAGGCCCTTGCTGCCTGCATAGGGGCTGTGCTGGCTGGTGCTAAGAGCCATTACCTATGTGCCAGATTGCTTCCTCTGAGGACAAAAATCAATCAATAGGCAGCTGAAATGATCTGTTTTTCCCACTGTGACTCACGTTGCTGCATGGACTGTCAGCTATTTTGAGTAAGGCAGGAATCGTGGGTTTCCACAAAGATGAGCGAAACAAGCACACGGCATCTTGAGATCTCTCATAAACCATCATCCAGATATAGCTTGGAAACTCTGCAGTTGTCTTGCAGGAGCTGTGGGTATAAAATGCTGACTTTTAAAAGTGCAGCTAAACAGGGAAAGGTAGCAGGCCACAGCACTTTCAGAAGCTAAATCTTACCAATAAAGACAATTAAAACTGTCATTTTTACTGTGTTACTCATGGAAGACAAAATGATATAGCCTGTAATTTAGAGTGTGTAGCATCTCTTAATCATTGGAGTAGCAGCTACTCAGGAACTGTTGTTATAATAATGCAAGCACTGCAGGCTCAGAGACTTTCAATAACTGCCAAAAACTTGGAAATAAGTAACAGGCTTCATGCTACCATGATGCTTTTCCATGGTCTGTGTGCTTTACTTCAGTTGGGCCCTAGGTTGTCCTGCTTTGCTCCAGAGGGAATTGGCTTGGGAGATTTGCTGCATCTCAGAGCAAATTTATTGGCAGGCCCGGGGACTTGCTCTTGCTTCCAGCTGACAGGCAGCAATGGGATGAGGTCTCTGGGAAGAGCTAGAGCTGGCCAGGAGGACTGCGGCGTAGGACCACACATGGTTTAAGCCTGGGGTCCTCGGCGTGTCCAGGGGTGCTCCAGGATGTCAGCGAGAACCTTTGCATTTCCTGACAAGGCTCATTTTTCAGCTTGAGTTCAACGTCCTCCGTTGGTGCCACTGCTGTCTCTCCCAAGGGGCAGTTGCAGTCGCTCCGGTTTCCTTTTCTCCTGACATTTCTCTGTGAGAAAACACTTGAACTGCGACAAAGTGTGCAAGTGTACTTGTAACCTTCCTCCTGATGAAAAAGGTAGAGAGATGAAATTTCAAACTCTGGGTRTAACTCTTAGCAGGAATGCTTTGTAATGTTTTATCACCACTAATCCAAATTTTTATATCAGAGTTACATTTTCTAGCTACGCTTTTGTAAGTTTGGTTTGTCAGTTCTGACATAGAACTTTTTAAGGAGCCTTTAAAAAAATAATAAATTATTAGAAAAAAAGTTTATACATAAGAAAAAAAAGACACCTTCAAGTAGCTTTTTAAATGGACTGCACTAGGACCAAAGATGTAATGTCTTATTTTCTTGCTTTAAAGCAATACAGTGTTGATCACCACTTCCACAACATCCCTTTACAGGAAAAAGCTATAGATCTATAGATTCTTCTTTGGGATCAGCCCAGAGCACCATTAAGCCAGGAGGGCTTGACATGAGGATGAGGCCTCCTCCATTGAAAACAAGACCAAAAATCGGGACCTGGTATTTCTTCAGGGCTACATCTGGAGCCTTTACTTTTGATTCATTCCCTACTCATGAAACACTAAAAACAAGGACATGATTTTTGAGAGAAARAAARAAAAAAAAAAAAAAGGCATTCTGTTTGGGCTCAGCCTCAGGAAAAAAATAAAAAGCTGTGAAGATGACACGTGAKTAGATAAGTGCTTCTTAACCGAGGAAGTGCAGAGGCAGGCAGCGAGACTTCAAGATGATAACACTTCTGGTTAYGTATTACTACGTATTACTTGAATTACCTGGGGGAGCTGAAATCACGACACTTTCACCACCGACTTGACCTCCCGCCACGTGCTCTGCCTGCTTTCCACACTGTGTATTTCCAGAGTGGGGCCTTGGGGCCCGAAACCTGTGGTTCATTCACACCACTAAGTGGTGCCGCATATGAGTCTGTCATTCTCTTACGTGAGAGCTGCACACAGCAAGGAGAGAAATGCAGAGATTTTAGGCTGTACCTCAGCTGGCAGTCAAGGAAATCCTTCGTAGCATCAGAGAAAAGAGTTCTGGAGGGAAAAAAAAAAAAAAAAAAAAAAAAGAAAAAAAGAAAAGAATGGGGGACCTAGCTGGCAAAACCTGCATTACTTCCTACTTCCAACATGTCAGCCAAGATTGAGGCCTTCATGTTCCCCCTCATCCTTCTACTTGCTCAGCCTTGTCAGAGGTGGAGATTTCTGGACACGAGGCTGCTCTGTGGTCTCTCTGTAGCTCTCTCCTTGGAGCAATGTGTTTTCTGACTAATAAGGTGCAARATAAAAAATCAAAACCGTAGCTGTGAACCTAATGTTTGGACTTGTGGAGTCTTGTTCCTGTGTAGCTGATACGGTACGTTATTTCCAGTTGCTCTGGAATTTATCCAGATCAGCCTCCTGGTCTCTCATGATTTAACTGAAGAGTGTGGATTTTCAAACACCATCAATGTTATCCTGGTATTTTAAGAAAGGGAATATGTGAAGTAAGTATTCATTCATAGCTACTTACAGTGAGAGGAGATTAGATTCACATACCTGGATTGTTCCTTCCTAACCTTGTATTCCTAACATCACTTCCCTTGACATTAATAGAAATTTTTAATTTGATTTCATTGAGAGCGTAAAGCAAGGCTAATGTTGAGTGATTTTGAAAATCCCTCGCAATAATCAGAGATCCTATGGATCCACTGCCCACTTTAAGCTGCTTTCTGAGTATATAAGGAATAATGTCTTGGTTTTAATAAACTGTCAAGCAATATATGCATAGATACAGACGGTACCCTTGCAGCATTCTAAAGTTACTCACCTTTGAAAGCACTATTTGTACAATACGAAACTCTTGACTTTTGTATGTTTTAATAGTTTATACTGTTGATCAAAGATTGTTTGTATATTGAGCGATAAAAATGAGGTGTACATTATTCTTTTTAATTGTTTTTAATTTTTGGAGAACATTTATTGTAATATACTGTTGCATTTGCAGGGGGGAAGAAATCACAGTGGCTCGCTTGTAGGGGTTTTAGCCAGAAAAGAACTCACGTAAAGGGTTCTTTACTCATGGACATTGATATTAGTAAAAGTTGTCACTTTGGGGGCTTATCCAGAGCCTAATGAACGTACTAGCAGGACACTTTCCTCTCTCCCAAACGCTTCCARTCTCTCTCTGTGCACCATGCTGGAGTTTCTTAATGTGAGCTGTCAAACAGCCAACAGTTCAGACCATGGGAAGTGCATTATGAAAGCCTGGGTGCTGTTTTTCATTGCACTAGTAAAAGCTGCTCCTCTGACATGCATGGCAGATTCTCACTTCAGTTTTAAGATGACCACAGAAGCACAGTCAGTGCAATCCCTCAAGCTCAGATCCATGTGATATTTGGGTTGCCAGACCATTCTTTGGTCATTTGTGAGTTGTGTAATCATGGGTTGTGCGACAGTAACCCAGCAGGACTCCTTGAAAAGAAAAGCCAAACAGTAAAATCTCCACCGTAGTCACACTCATGTAAAACTTAGATTGTGCCACTAAAAGCAAAGGAGTACAAGGGAATGCATAGGAAAGCTATGAATTCAATGCAATGCAGGAAAGATACGTGGAAGAGCAGCTGTACTAGGCTAGCAAGAAAGAGAAATGCTGGCAGCAAAACCAGTCAAGTGAAGCCCAAGTGGGCCCCAAGAATTGCTGTTTGATAACTTAACTGGTGGGATTCATGCAAAGATTAAAGGAATTAGAGGGCTCTAACTGCAATGGAGATTTCTGTGAAGTGTTTGGGAGGAAAGGAAGACTTCTCTTTTCTCTAAAAGCAAAATATATTGGGCTAACAACACAGTAGAGAGAAAGGAGCTGGAACTGTCAGTACACGTTCAGTCTGGATAAGTCCCTGGTATTGTGATTAGTAAATTAAATCTTTTTTGTCTTTATAGATGAACTTTGTACACAGAAAAAAAGCCACTACAGCACCTTTCTCATTTTCATCTTTCCATCCAGTCCCTTCCAATATGTAGGTGCATGCTTTACCAGCTCAACTTATTTTATGCAGAAAAGGCATAGTCTTAATCTTCATATTACTGTTCCCAGAAATGTCTAATGCGTATTAATGCATGATATTTTTATTTTAATAAAAGTAATTAAATAAAGCTTGGCTGGTTTGGGGCAAGTTTTTTTTTTCCCCTGCCTTGGCAATCACCAGTTGGCTTGTGGAGACTATAATGGTTAATACCATAAACTTGAAATCGCAGTATGTTATACTTCCATACACCTCCTTCTATGTGAAGATCACAAAACGCAGCTTCAGAAGTCATCTTTATGAACAGAAAACTGCTATTCTCTGTATTTCATGGATAGGAAAATAGAGGTCCAGCAGTATCCCTATGTTTACCTCACAGAGGTGGAGACACTGGTGGAGATAAAATCCAGACAGAGTACTGGAGAAGTGGACCTTAAAATAAAGAGTAATATAGGTTTAGAAACATGCGTGTCAGGTTTGTCTTGAATGCTCAGGAATTCCTGAGCATTCAGGAATTCCACTGAACTCAGTGGTGCCAACCTAAAATAACTGAAATAGAGGAAGTGACAAAGGGTACAAAAAGATGAGAGAGACAAAGAAGCACAACTGCAGTTTAATCCCCCTCCCATCTGATAGGCTGAGAAAGACAGAGAAGATTACTCTATAAATATATCAGAGGAATATTAGATTCCTTCCCAAACTTCCATCATTACTCTCAACAGCCTTAAGTGAGCCTTGGCCTTGCCCATTAGTACTTCCAAACTCAGTGGGGAAGGAAATAGGAGGGGGACAAGTGAGGGAGCCTTCAGGGAACCAGTCTGAATAGATAATAAGATCATGTAAAAAAATTCTGAGATGGCCAATAAGAAAAACTACACACTCTGAGGAGGCCCACGGTCTGACGTTGTAGTCTGACGACCTGACTGGAACAGGCCTAAATGCCCATTAAGGCCTTGTAAATCAAAGCCCTTGACTGAATCCACCTTCTACTTGGGAGATGTGGCTRGGTCTCCCATCCAGGCAGGGAGGCAGGTAGGGTGTCCTTGTTAGGGCTCATGAGAAGAGGGGTTAAAGGGATGTTCAGCTGAGAGAGAAGCTGAGGCTGCAGCTCAGGAGGTTCCTTAAATCTTTTGCAGGGAATTGAGCTTTCTCTTTTTCTTGAGTGCCACCTGTGTGAAGTTCAATGACAACCTTCCGAGTGCAGAAACCCTCTCCCTTTAAAACCTTCTTTTTAAAGCCAGTATTTATTTGTGGATGTGTTACCTCCAGAGACTGCTGCTTTTGGTGAGTTACAGCATTATGAAATCAAACTAGTGCAGAAATAAAACCATAAATGTTTGTATTCCTTATCCAGTACCATACAGTTGGTTTATACTATGATTTTTATTTTGCGGGGACTTTATTTGAGGGGGGGATCACAGATTTATGAATTACATTGCACTTTACTGGTCACTACTGGACACTCTCAGATAGGAGTGTCAGTGAYGCAAGTAGGAGACAGCAATTCTTTTCCCACAGACGGTCTCCTTTAACGGAATTCATACTATCCCTCCTTTAAATACCCAAAGCTCCTAAGGGTCGCCACCTGTTTCTCTGGTCGCCACTGGCTTTCTCTGTTTCCATCTAGCTGCTGGAGYTGGGTTAAATCACCAAAAGCAGGAGCGTTTCATGCACGCTTGCTGCTGGCAGGCAGCGATGCAGCCCACGCCACGCAATGAGCAGACGCACTGCGTTAGGCGCCTGCAAACACCCTGCCCTTGCAATTACCCTGCTTCTGGAGCCAAGTGGAAGGAAAGCTAAGAGTGCCCCCTCTTGGAAAAGAAACTCAGCACAGAAAACAAATGGTTTTAAAATAGGAAAATAGGTGATGTATTTATATTGGCATAAAAAAGGGGATAGAGTCTTGTCCCGTCACAATCAGTTTCACCCTGTGCTCTCCCAGCAAGCAGGGCAGAAAAAGCCTGTTTGCACAGCCGATTTGTTTTCCAGTCTGTTTGGAGGACGGGTTCATGCTACATTTAATCCAGCCTAAGTATAGACTGCTGCAGAGACAGGTCGATTCACTGATCCAATGGAAAAACTAATCTTTCTCTTTGGGGGTTTAGCTCCAGTGGGTTTGCAAGGCAACTGCACACGCGAGAGAGCTGACACGTGAGATGGCAGCAGGCTGAAGGACAGGACTGTAACCTTTAGTGACCACCCACAGCAGTAACAAACGTGACATTTTCCTGCCCTCAAAAGCTCCTGGGCAGGTGGGTGAGAATTATAACCTTCCCCCAATGCTCGGATACTTGTTTTATTTATACCTTGCAAGAAAAGCAAGTCCTCATACTGTGCAGGCAATTCTATAATAAGTCTTGTAATAATGCAGAGAGGCTGAGTTGTC